TCCGTGCTCTAGCGGCAAACATTAACCTATTTATTCCAACTCAACTTCAAATAGTAGCACAAGGAAACGCGCTACCACATGTTTGAAGTTTAGCATATTAAAACTGGGATTGTGTAAAGACTAAGTAACGAACCGTCCTCTGATAAGGTATTCTGGTGCTCGCAAAGGATTGTCGTTCTTAAAACTATTGTTAATAACGCTATTCCAAGGTATCTGCGATCAATACCAGGCGGCACCTCCGCCTTACGCAATCGTTATGCGTCAAGCAGCACAAACAAGGCTCAATCTCGTCGACGGCCCATGAATAAGTTAACTGCTTCACATTCCCTGGACTCTGCTACTACCACTACAATGAGCTGTACCCTTTTGCACCATCCCTTACCCAATAAAGCCTTCCCTTTTCTTCCCGACGGTACGGCCTACCTACTTTCTGATGAGCAGCATCGAGCTGTGGAGCAGTCGCTCTGCACTACCAAGTTGCTGTTGCATCGACTCAAGCGCCTTCTTGTTGAGGTGAAGTGGTCTCTCTCGTTTGGTCTTTTTGTATGAATCTTACACTTCTTCACAAACGCGCTAGAGACAAGTTTCACATCTTTGCTGATGCTGAAAACTCAGCTGGGGTAGAACTCTTTCTTGTGCAAGAGTAGGGGGCCGTTAGTTTCTCATAGATCAGTCCATCACACTTTACTCGGTGAAGTATAAGTGTAATATTAGGTAATTTAGCTGGCATATTGCAAGATTTCTCACTGCAGATGCTGTGGAATTTTACCACTCCTCAGCATTTATTTTCCTATTGGCAAAAATTTTCAGGCCAGAAGTGTGGGAAAGGTGTTTTATAAAAATGAATTCGTCTTGAGTCTCCTACAAACAATCCTTTTCATCACATCCACTCACATTATTCACCTCATTCAATCACTGTGCTGAGCAAATATTCTGTTAAAGCAAAATGTCACTTGATCTGCTGCTATTCTTTCGGTGAAAACATGATTGCATTTGGTCAACATTTAGGTTTTTTTATGACTTTGTCGGAGAATGATGTTTTACTTAATGTTTGGACTGGATGATTTCTTCGTGAGAAGCAAAAGCACTGTTCTCGTTCTTGCAGAATACTGGGCACCTGCACTCCTTTGCCGAACAAGTGGGAAATCGTTCCGCAGTTCTTTCGCCGGTAAGTCATAATTTACTTTCAAGTACCCTTGCCTTTGAAAGCTCATCCCCAACGCTCAACTCGTTTCTCCAAAGTCGTGATAGCAACTTTGAATATTGGATACCGAAGCAGTTAAATTTTCATTCCTTATTGCAATCATCCACATTTTCTTCACCGTTGTGTATTTCACAATATCACATCGTGAGACTTTTTGTCCTCCTTCGAGGTGCACGTCAATTGTATCCCACCATCGCCTGGGTTGGATGCCTTTGAAGTGGAGTCGCCCTCCTCCAATAATGATTCCAGTACTGTATTCCCTTTCACGTTCACTAAGGAACCCACAAACTTAAATGATGCAATCTCGGTAAGTATTTTGCATCAGGATATTACTGCTTGAAAGCTTTTTGCTTCAAAAATGTTAACGCCTTGGTTGGGTGATATTTGTTGGTCTGAACCAAGGAAAACAGTCAATTGACAAATTCTTCTCCCCTTGAAGGAGATTCGATGGCTAAAGGAGGAAAACATTCGGCTTCAAGAGGAGTTGGCTAAAAGAGAGAGGTACATTCACCTGTTCCTCCAGAAGCAGGCAAGTTAGAGGAACTTCCTCACTGCTACAACTCCTCCGAACATGAAATCTTTATTGCTGTTATTGCTTTGTTTCCTTAAATATTACACAAAATTCTATCCAAATCAAATAAGAACGTCAATTCTTGGCCAAGTGCAGGAGTGCCACTGATTCATCATTGAATCCACCTCCTCATGTACAGTTCCTTAGGTGCCTTCAGTTGAGTATCTTTTCTTTTCTACAGTTCGGCGATAACAATTTGACATTGTAATTTTGTATCCCCCTCGTCCGCCTCCCCTTCCCACTGCTCCCCGTCCCCGCCTTCTCAATGTACTTTCTGCTGCCTTCATCACATTCGATTCGAATACGATTTGTCGGCCTATTTTTGTTTTTAGAAGAAATAAATTTGCTCACTTCTCCTCTTGCCCTTTTAAGGGGTTTTTTCTGTCTAATCAAAGGCATGAAAGTAGCAATGAGATGCCCTATTCACCTCACTGCTGACTTTGAACAATTTAAGGTGTACTGAAATATTCAGTGGGTCAGCGTGAACCCATTTTGCACACATCATTGTTGCCTTTCTTTTGTCAACTTACTTTGCAGAATGATTCCCATCAAAATTGGACGGCAATTATCAAGCAATGGAGTCCTGTACTCATTGTTGTCCTTGCGGTGTTTTCGAGCTCTGCATGTCAGTTTGAATCCCATTTACTCGGTGTCGCGTTTAAAACCGTTTCGTAAACCTCCCCCAACTGAGGGAGGCGTGGTGCCTGGTAGCAGTGTTGAAGGCATCCGGACACGAAGTATTGATATGGATCAAGCGAAGGTGGACCTTCTCACAAAACATCTCGGCCATCCAGATGACTGGCAACTAATCTATCGTCTACGAGCTATGCCTATTGCTCAGGTTTGTCAAGCTTATTTTATTTGCTTACCTTCGAACGCTTATCTCAGTCAGTGAATTGACGATGTAGGCTCTTTCCAGACTCAAACTCTTTCTCACTTTCGCATTGCTTGCGGGAGCATCGGCATCCACAGTTGGTCACCTCTTTGATAAGGTCGATGTGCAGCTTTGCCAGTTCCTTCTTGCTGCTTCACTTTTCTCTCTGTGCACGCTATGTGCTTTCAGCTTCTACTCAACCAAGGTCGTTGGTGTGGTAAGTTGTTCACCCTCACTACTATCATTAGTGCGTTCCTGATAAGTTCTCCTCTATATATTGTATTTAATTGGTGAAAATTTATTCTCTGGGTTGAGAACTTGCATCTGTGGTGGGATTTAATACTTTGTTCCTGTATCCTTAGCGTTCTGGACGACGCAAATCATTGAGTTGGATGAAAATACGGGTTGAACCGCCATAGAAACTACCATTAGAAAGGAATGGGTGGGCGTACGGAATGAATGAGCTGGAAAGGCATTTATCAAGTTATACCTTAAAATGGAACTCAACGCCTTATTGCATTCCATTCTCAACTGTTGAAGTACTTTATTAACCAACCAAATTTTTGACCCGATCTTCCCAGGATTTGGACTTTAATTGTCCAAAAAAGTTCACTCATAAGTTGCTCTTTGCGGACAATTTTCTTTCCACCATAAAGGTGAGTCTGAACAAGTCGACTGGATTGCTTCGCCTAGGTCTGCTCACCTTTTGGGGCAAGCGACACAACATACTTATTCGTCCCGAACAACTCCTTCCGGCTACAGATCTGTCCAACAGCAACAACAAACGCACTGTTTGTGTGGGCCTTACTGGAGACATTTTGAATCCTAAGTACAGTACAATCCGATTTTTGTATGTTTCCTCCGTGACTGGCCAGATTGGAGATCGTGATTTGTTTGAAAAACACATCGGAAGAATGTGGCAGCACTTGTAAGCTAAGGCATTATTATCTTTGTCAATGAAATTTCCCAGAACATATGCTATGTGAGGAATGCCTCTTGGTAGAAAGTGTAAATGTTGTATATTTTAATTTACTTGCTTGAAGTCACGATTTTGCTTTATCTCTCTTGTCTTTTAAGCCTTACTTTCGGCTATGAACCCTTGGTTGGACATTTTGTTTTCGCCTTTGCCTCTGTTCTGGGCAGAATGGGAGGCTCTACATTGTTATCCAAGACAGGCAGTTTGGCTTTGAGGGATATCTAACCTAACCTTTACTGATGAGTTAAAAGGTAGCATTGCAAGTGAAGTGCATGAGCTACGCACGGAGCAGTGAGTGACGACTCATAGTAGAGGGGCTGAGAATGACGTCTGCCTGCAGCAGCCATCTCAAATCCACGGTCTACAAGAAATCTAGGAAACAACGGAAGCGTCATGCAGTTCCCAAACGCACCCCTATGGAGATCGGCTAAATTTTGGCTTCCTCAAAGTACATCTGTCTTTGGGTGGGTATCTCATGCGCTTGCCGTGAGAACAAATGGCGGTTGGTAGGTTTCTACGTCTCTGGATTCCATTTACTAAATAGGCAAACTCTTAATCCAGCATAATTGCGAAGGAAGATCAGTGGCACTGTAGTCGAGCCCTTCTCCTTTGAATGGGAGTTTATTATACAGCGTGGTTAGCTCGTGGCTAGTTTTATTTCGTTGTTGTTTTTTTTATGACCCACGCGAGGCGTTCACCAAGAGGATATAAGGGGTCGCGCTCAGATAAGTGTGATAATGTAATGCTTTGAGGATCTCGTAGCGTTTGGTTTTGGGCACAGGATTAATGATTCTCACGCTAAATATTGTAAGTAAAACCACTTAGTAGATTGAAATATCACTACTGTGGAATGCAGGGTGGGAATTCCTTGAGATGTTCTACGGTACTTTTACAAACTATGGATAATGAGGCGCTATTATCACAACGTGTGGTGGTTTTAACCTGTTGAGCAAAAGTAAGATATGGAGTTTAGACCAATGAGGTGTGGAGTTTTGCGTCGCATCTGGGATAGAAGTAGTGCAGGCGGGTGCAGAGTGAAGGCGCTCTATTTCATTGTGGATATTGGGTACAAATGCAGATAACAATGGTCACCAGTGGCAGTGGGTGGGTCTATGCAGTTCACCGTGCATTAACAGGGATCGACATCCGCACATGAACTCCACGGCATTTTATACACAGTTGTGCATTCGACGTATGTAGTTAGCCAGAAGCATTTAAAGCGTTTATTAGAGTCTACTAGTTTTGACTTAACTAGGTAAGAATGAGTTCATTCAATGATCTTCAATTAACCCAATGTACCGATAATGGAGGTAAGTAATTCGCCAGTATTTCGGCTCACAAAGCGCTGCAGAATCAAAGCATGTGTAAAAGCTATATTTGTTAACTTTGATTAACTTGATCACAACGGGCACTAACTTGCTGTTTGTTTATTTTTCGAAACCAATTTGTTTTAACTATTCGGGTCTTGGATGCATCGCATTGTCTTCTTTTTAATTTGTGACCTTGAGTCGGGTTAAGCTCTTGTGGCGTTTGGGGGCGTGGTCGGAATTCATTCTTGAGCATTAAATAAGTTCTTGCAGTAGATTTGGCTGGCTGAGGTAATTTCGACCGTGAGGCTTCAAAGGTTATGAGCTTAGTTTAGCAGTTGTTGAATTAGGTCAGGCTTCTCAAGTTTGTGTTATGTTTACTCTTCTGTGATTAAGCTGAAACCGAGGCCTAATTACACAAGCAGAGTATAATCTTCAAGGAGTTATAACAATATCTTCTTAAAGCTTTTGTTATGTAAGCCAATGGCATTATTTTCGCGTGTACTTTTGACTTGATATATAGCCTTTAAATGGACCGGTAATTATTCAGCAGTGTTTATTACTAACACTAACAAATCACTTTGCCGGTTGTTAATAGCATGGATTTCTGCGGCTCAAAGACTGAGATATTGGCTGAGCACGAGAACTGTTTTCAAGAAGTTGTTCCTGAATGCCCTATGGGGAAAGTTGCTCCAAATTTCCCTTGTCCCGGTCCACAAAGGCATAGACTCAACTATTATGGGGAATATGAGACGACATGTTGGAGTTTAAATAATCCCCTCTGCAGGCTTGGAGCCTTCAGCGATCTTCGCTTTAGTAAGCACGTGGAATTGCCGAACTTCAGTTTGAATGTCCTTGACAAAACTCTCCTTAGTTTATCATATGAAAACACCGATGCAATAATCCAACTAGGCAACATTATCGACACACGTTATGTGAATACTGAAGCAGAAGTTGAAGATTTGATTGCGCATTTGGCTCACGTTTTTAATAAAACGTACAGAAAAGTCTGCCACGTGATCGGTGACTTGGATTCCGCAGTTCGTGAACAATACACAAATTCATTTTTGAGAGATCTTGCATTTTCCCTAGAAGGGTCCCAAAATCCACATCGATTTTGTGGAGATTTGTTTTATTCGGTAAATTACTGCATATAACTGACAATCCGCTTTCCTATTTTTAATTTACATATTTTATAAATAAGGTGGTAGTTGGACCACAATGGAGACTTGTCGTTCTGGATGGCTATGAACAGTTAATGGTCGAACCCAGAAATACTGCTGAACCACCGACTCCATATAATTCTGAAACCACTGGACATGGTTTTTTAATGCACTTCAACATTAGGGATCCCGATGATAAAAAAGTATGCTTAAAATTGGTTACGATGTTTTGCAACCATAGTGCTCGATGCATATCACCGAGGCCACTAAGCCAGTTGGGTGGTCACGTGAACTCATGACAGTGGGTGAGTTCATGACAGTGGAGGAACGCGGTCAAGTGCCAAGAGTTCGACTGATCATGTCACAGCGGCAACTGAAGTGGCTCAACGCAACAATTCAAGAGGCTCTGCATTGCAACGAAAACATTATTGTTGCTTGTGAGTAGCTATGGAACTAAAAACCCACTGATATGTTGTGAGTAAACTTGCTTTCGTCCATACAGGCCATGCACCGCTGCATCCTTTGATGGTTCAGGATCGCTCAACGCTTGTGGCGAATTGGAGGGAGATTCTCAAACTCCTAATGCATTGTGGAGTGGTTCGCTGCTGTCTTATGGGCCAGCCACTCAGCATGGATTACGAAAGTAACAAATGCAATCCAACGTATCACCACGACCATGGAATACTTTATTACACCCTTCCACCAGTCAATGATACTGCAGAGCGAAATCGTCAGGTTTCAGCTCACATTCTGATTGATCTGGGACGCGATTTTGTGAGAATTAGGGGTGAGAAGGTTGGCCTTCGTCCAGAACATCAACAGTATGGTGTAGTGCATTCCTTTAGACCCCGAACAAAGGTTTCCTACAAGGATCGGGACTACTCCTTTAATGG